TTAAGCAATGGTCAAAAGTCTACATTTCATGTTCTCAGATTAATCACAGGTTTCTGCCCTTTAATTCATCCTGGAGCTCTACTGTCTCAGGCTTACTACCAAGGCATACCATTCAGTTCCTGCAATCCCATCTGCCTTGAGACACTCAGTTTCTCATTCTCACTTTATTACCTGCATAGTATGAAGCAGGTTCTACCCACAAAACTTATGCCTGATGTTTATGTCACACTGCTCCTTTTTTTTTACCCTGTGGTGCCAGCTCTCAGAACAATTCCAAACTTCTGGCCTGTCCCAGCACATCTCAAAACTTGCATTGTGAATCTGCTTTTATCTGTGCAAGTTTATCCATCCATTTTCTTCACAGGCATTGCCACTATTTGCCAAGTTTGTCTCTCTTATGTGGGGCTTACATGTGTGTTTGATAACAGATGTTTTTTATATTATTTGTGGAAATAATGCATTATTTACCAAGATAGAATTTTAGAGTAGACTGTCTTCAGGTAGTTTAACTGTAGCCAGCAAGTGCCAGGCAGCTGCTCACTCACCCGTGCACCAGCAGGATCAGGGAGAGAATTGGAAGGATAAAAGCTAGACAACTCACAGGTTGAGATAAAGACAGTTTAATAGGGAAAGCAAAAGTTGTGCACAATAGCAAAGCAAAACAAGGAATGAATGCAGTGCTTCCTATGCCAGACAGGTGTTCAGCCATCTCCAGGCAAGCAGGGCCCTACCAGATGTGACAGTGACTTGGAAAAGCAAGCACACCATCACTCCAAATGTCCCCTTCATTCCTCCCTTTACTCCCCACGTCATGCACTGACTATGATGTCACATGTTCTGGAATATCCCTTTGTTCACTTGGGGTCACCTGTCCCAGTTGTGTCTCCCTCCAACCTCCCATGCCCCCTCAACTTCCTCACCAGTTGGGCAGTACAAACAGCAGAAAAGGCCTTGGGTCTGTGTAAGCCCTGCTGAGCAATAACAAAAACATCTCTGTGTTGTCAACTCTGTGTTCAGCACAAATCCAAAACACACAGCCCCATACTTGCCTCTGTGAAGGAAATTAGCTCTACCCCAACCTCAACCAGCACAGTAAATTAAAATTTCTCACTGCAAAGTGTGACTGTACACTCCTCTGCTTTGCTCACTTTCCAGTGCCTCAGTTGGACATTGGAAGAGGAAGAATGTTCCTGTAGAAAGTACTAGCACATTCTTGCATAAAAAATAAAGAGTGCAAAATAATACAAGAAGTAGCATGAGTATGTCAGAATAACAGTGCAAAATTCTAGTATCTAATTAAACGTCCAAAAGATGGGAAGGAGGGAGGAAAGTGTTCTTGATTGTAAAGACAGTTGGCATTTCTTTGTTAAGTTTTTTTTCTATATTGTCTATATTTCTAAAATATTTTATATACTGGAAAATAATTGAGGGAAAATAAATTGAGCATGGGCTCTGCCAAAAAAAAAAAAAACAAACCAAAGCAAAACTAAAAAGCCCATACACAGAAAAATGAGAAAATTGAGAGACTGTGACTATCATATTGTGTGTTTGTTAGTTGGTGGCTATCAGTGTGAGTAGTGTTTGTGAAGTATTTTGTGCTAAGGAAAAAAAATGTGATTATTCCATATGGATTGGCTTATATATGCTTAAAACCTTTCTATAAATACTTGAATTAAAAGACACCAGATGCTGCACAGTAGCTGCTGCTGCTTTGTGAACGTCATGGTATATTCTTTAAAGCCCACAGGAAGTAGCTGAGGGGAAAAGTGTATTAATTAAGTTCAGAAATAGATTTTCCAGCTATAGGAAAGTCTCCAAAGAAAATAGCATATGATCTTCAGAAATGTGAGCTTTCTGTCCTGAGAATCTGGTGGCAGCATGCAGCACTGTCACATGGGCATCAAAATTCAGATTTCAAGTTCTTAGAGCTAAACTAGCCTGGAAATAAGTCAGTCTGTGGCCCTTGGAAATGGACCCATCTTTTGACCTGTCCCCTCTGGCCAGTGTTCATAGTTTTGTGGACAGTCTTCAGAGAGAACATTTTTCCAGTTTCTCTTGACCTGAAGAAATAATGTAGCAGAGACTTGAGGGGAAAGTACTAGAACTCCCAGATGCTCTGCACTTCGAACTTGCAATACACAGAGTATATTTTATAAGCTCTAAAACTATGGCAAAAGAATTACAAAATGGCAATTGCTTTCCACTGGTTGAGAAAGATTTATGGCTGGCAAACTAATTAAATGTTTCCGCATTTAGAAGTACTGACTCTGGTGTATTTGTAGTGCCTTCTTTTGTTCTGTTTCCTTCAGAGCACTGAAGAGTGACTCTCCTGCACTAGCAGTTGGTGGGAAGTGTCCCATCTCTCTTTATACAATATAGATATATAACTGTTTATAGTGACATGGTTCTGCTGGAAGAAAATGGACATGCGAAAAAGTAACATTCACCACTGAGCAGTCTTATGTGGGTCATGTGAGCTGCTTTAAGTGTGAATTGCTGATGTATTGGGTATCATGTGTGTCATGGTGGTTTGACCCCAGCGAGCAGCTAAGCACCCAGCAGCTGATCACTCACCCTGCCCCTGTGGGATGGGGAGAGCATCCCGGGAGCAGAAGTCAGAAAAACTTCTATCTTAAGATAAAGACAGTTCAAGGAAGAAAGCAAAGCTGTATGTGCAAGAAAAGGAGAAGAAGGAATTTATTCAGCACTTCCCATAGGCAGACAGATATTTAGCCACATCCCAGAGAGAACTGTTTCACTTCACATAATGGTTACTTGGGAAGATAAACATCATAACCACAAACATCTTCCCATACCTTTTTGTTACCTCAAGCTTTTATTACTAAGCATGACTTGAAAAGGACTTGATATCTTTTTGGTCCATGTGGATCAGCTGTACCAGGGGTGTTCCATACCTATGGTAGGAGCAGAGCAAGAAACAGAGAAGGCCTTGATGCTGTGCAGACACTGCCCAGTAGTAACTTAAATACTGATGTGTTACCAGCTCTAAAATGTTTTAGTCACAAACCTAAAGCACAGCACCATCTTGTCTACTATGAAGCATGTTAACTCCATCCCAGGAGAAAGACAGTACCATTTCTACTCCTTGTTTGTTTTCACGTAACACCTATGGCTTGGGCTCCATCTGCTGTGATGATTGCTTAGGAGAGGAGAGGTAGCATGCTCTGTTGAGTTGATGGCACCAAAATGAGCTTAGTTTGGGTCACAGGGCACTTGGTCTGGTTCTTTATCAATATCATCCTCTTTTGATTCCAGTGGCTTTGCCTGTGATATTTCCATAGCACAAAACTGAAATCACAGAAACAATTTGAATATAAATCTATTGCAGTACCGTCAATAGGAAGAGAAAAAGGTGTGTTTTGTATGTCTTTTCCACTCTCTCCCAGAGAATTCTACTGCAGGCTCTAAGAAATCTTCCTGATAAAGGTGTGTTTTACAAATCTGTTGGACCTACTTTCCCTCCTTTCAAAAAAGAAGATTAAAAAAAAAGGAAACAAGGAAACAAACAATCACACATCAGAACAGAAGACAGAGCTGTCTTTGGAAAAGTCTTAGGTACCATTCATTTAGCTTTTCAAGCAGAGTGATCACAAGAACCTGAAAATGAGAGCTTTTACAATGGTCATACTTGTGATTTCCAGTATTGAAAACAGGAAGTCAGAAAAGAAGTAATTCCAGAAGATCATATTTCTTGTTTGAATCAGTTTCCAGAGTTCCAGTATTCTACCATGTCAAATTTAAGATTTTTTTGTCTCCATGGTCAAGTTAGACCTTGCCTTTCAGTGGTTTACGTGTATTCCTTCAATGTCATGCTGTGTCATTTTGCCAACTTTTATGGGATCAATACTGTAATTCTTGCAAGCTGTTGCATTCCTTCAAGCAGAATGCCTTCTATCAGTATAATGTTCTTTATTCATTAATTCATTAATGAATTAATTTTCTTTGCACTTATATGAAATAGTAAACATAAAATCAGTGACCGATATATCTGATGTGCTTTAAAGGAAACATAAATTATGTTATCCCTGTTCAGTACCTGAGAAGTATCACATGTTGTGCATCTGCTATGTTTCTGTCAATGTTTAGGTAGACAGATTTTAATGCATTTAGAATGATGGTTGTGGGAACTCAAAATGTCCCTCAGACATTTTTGAAGGTTCCAGGTCCAGGTCAGAAGCATTTGAGACCCTGGCAGGCAGCTGGAAACAGCTGTGATTTTTTATTTGAGCCATGGAATGATTTACCAACCTTGCAGGAAGAACAAGAAGTCACAAAAGTTTAGATATTATAGTAGAAGTAGTCACAAAGTAGAGGGAAGAATTTTTTAGTGCTGTACAGGGGGGTTTTAACACCTGTACACGGGGGGTTTCTGTTTTGTACATGGGGGTCAGAGGTTTTAAGATGGAGGGATCTGGACCTGCCCTGTCCTCCCTCTTTCTTCTTCCTTACCTCCATGTTCTTGGTGATGTTGGCACCCAGATTGGTTTAGAGTAGAAAAGCACCTTGTAATATACGTAGTAGGTACTGGGGAAAAACTATAAACCTGTAACATGTAATGTACCATATAAAAGATAGCTGCAGCCCTGGGCAGGGAGAGAGAAGAAGAAGACAGCTGACAGGATGTCAGGGTGTGTGTGTGTCTCTGCCTGAGCTGCTGAGCAAACTGCAGCAGCCAGAGAAGACAATCTTTTAGATAACTCAAAATAAATTGCCTTGAGACCAAACAAGAGACTGCTGAGCCTTTCTTTGGAAGCATGGATTGGAGGAGAAATGTTTCCACCACACAAAGCCACCCTGCAACCTAGGGTGGTCTTCGACAGATGGTAATACATGACAAATAAAGTGTCATAAGTTTTCCTCTTGTTCAGTTCCTGATGAGAATCACATTAGTATGCACTGCATACTAATGCATAACTGACACAGACTTGTGTAGGTTGACTGTTCTGTTGACTTCATGCCTTTGAATTTTTCTTGTGCAGCCAAACTGTACTGCAGCTGAGCGAGCCATGGCAAGACTTGCAACACATCCCACCTTGAAGCCCAGATTTGTTGAACTTAAAGGTATGAAACATTTTATTGAATTTTTCTCTATAGCTTACTGTTACTTTGAAATGTATTTCTGACATGAACAACAGTAAAAAACCCACAAAAACTAAAAGCTTCTGTAATTAGCATAACTAGCTGCAGTGAACCAAGCCACAATCTTCAAACCATTTATATAGCTTGAATTTATATGGGTTTATATGTGACAGTATACAGTATGACATTTATTTAATATAGGGTAATTGAACAAACAGAGCTTATAACGAGAATTCTAAAAATCAAATAGATGTAATGGAGTATAACTAAATTAAAAAGGAACAAAAATGGATCATTGCAACTGGGTTTTCAAAGGCATTTAAAAGATTTTATAAATCACTTTCTTAACTTTCCCTGAAAACTTTGCTCAGAATTCTTAGGGTATCTTTCCTGGTTATGTAGGATTTATCTTGTTCTCTCAAAACTGGAATTTTCCACCTAAAATTAATGTTTAAAAGGGTAAAGTATTAGTAGTAATGCCACAAAGTTAATTCATTAATAAGAGAGCATATCAAATACCCATTTAATTATATATGAACAAATTCATATTAGTTTACAATTTTATACACAAAGTAGTGTCTTATGAACATGATTATCAGCTGCAGATTATTTTCTGAATGAGAAGTTCATGATTTAGTCCAAATTTCATAGTGTATTTATTGATACACTAATATTTTCAGGGTTTTTCCTTCTCTTTTGATGATATTGTATTCTAACGTATCTCTTTTCCCATGTGTGTGGTAAATACTTCATAAGGACATACAAAATATGCTCAATACAACACATAGAAGTTGCAAAAATATTTTATTATATAAAAATAACTTAAGTAAATTCATGTGTAGCTGCAACAAAATATTTTTCTGCCCCTTGTACAGCTGCTGTTAAAGCTTTTAAGGATGCAAGAAAGAATCCAGACAAAGACACTCCTATGAAAAAGGATCAGTCAGAAGAACAGCCTAAATCAGTAAAATGTTTCAGTAACAGCTTGGATGACCAAACTTGTAAGCGGCCTCAAAAACAGCAAGGATGTGAACACAAAACAAAACTAGGCATTAAAGTAGAAACTGACAAGGTGGTTGAAGAGCTCTGTGAGAGTGAATATGAACAGAAAACTCTGGAAATGAAGAGAGTGTATGCTTCAGAAGAACCTTCATTTCAGGCAGTAGAAATGCAAATGGTTACTCAAAACAAAACAGGAAAGAAACTTGACTATCAAAAAAGGAAAGAAAATATGAGTAAGAAAAAAATAAATGCAATAAAAGAAATAATTTATGATAGTGACCAAGAGCATCCCAGTGAAAAGGAATACTTTGATGATAGTACTGAAGAGAGGTTTTATAATGAGTCATCAGATTCTGACAGTGACAGCAATGATGACTTCTTCATTGGAAAAGTAAAAAAGAAAAAAACAGCAGCAGTTAATAATTTTTCTTCAACAAAAGAAAAGGCTAGTGTTCAGAAAAATGTAATGAAAACAGAAAAGAGCACAGTGTCTGGGACAGTACAAGATTTGATCATGGAAGAGAGAAAGCCACTTGCAAAAGCAAGCAAGCTGGAGTCAGTGATCTGCAGTTCTTTGTCTACCACCTATCAGAAATCTCAGAACAGAAGGTAAACCTTTTCTCCATGTTATGTTTTCCATTCATTCCCTCCTTCATGGCAATGGAAAGGGTTGTGTTTTCTAGTAATCCTTACTAAACAAAGAGAATTAAACCTTAGAACATTTTCACAGAAACTACTCACTAGTCTTCTTAAGCTTTCTTGACAATTTCTTATATTCACAATAACATTGATTTATGCGTAGGATTTCTAACTAGATCTACACGCAAATTCAATCACTTCTGAATACTACTTCTTTATTAACATGGGTGGAGCAGTGTTGAAGAAGCTTGCATGTTATGTTTGAAGTTATTCCGTGAGCGTTATGGTGATGATGATTCTTTATTCCAGGTGTTTGTAATCTTACAATTTTATTGAAAAATCTTAACAACTTCTTTTTCTTTTTAGAAATACTAAAGACCAGCCTCTGAAAAAGGAAAGAACAGGTATGTATTACTTAACCTGGTAAAACTAGGAGAGAAAAAATATTTTGAAATTTTATTACCTCTGCAGTCTATTCACGATGGGATATATTTGTTTCTTTTCAAGTTTGTGGCACATATTTTAACATTTGTTGTTAAAATGGTCTAACTGTTCACCTTTCATATCTATGGATGTTGTCTGCTATTTTCTATTCTCTCATATTAGAAATACTTAATATAATGTTTACACTGGAAAGTGCTTTTCTGTCTGTCATATATTTGTGCACAGTTAAAGGTACTAGATTGTTATATGTAACTAGTACCTTATAAGCAATTTCTTCAATAGCTTCTGGATATGGAATATTTTATTCAGTTTATATTCTGTGGTACCAGTTTGGAGTTCATTGGACTGAGGATATAATTCCAGTCATATTGAGTTACATTGTGTAACAGGCATTGGTTTATTGTGAAGAAAAAAGTTTACACTGTGCTGAATGTTTGTCTACATAGATTTAGAGTGTAGTCAGTATTAATAAATCTTAACTGTCTGCAGTCTACCAAGTAGCAATTTACCAGGCTGCAAGATGAAGAAATCTTGCTGTGAATATTCAGATGACTGTGTTCCCCATGGCTCATTATGAATTTTTTGAAAATATCTGCAATCCCAGGGTAGTTTGCATACTTTTATAAAGGTTCCTGATGTAGTTAATGTTTTGTTTTGTACTTGCACAGGTTTTCTTAAAAATGAAACAAAGCTCAAGAAGAAACCATTTTCAAAAGCTTCAGGGGATATTAAATGCAACAATAATAAAGCATCTTTGGAGCAGCCTCTTCATCCTTCATGGGAAGCAAGCAGGAGACGCAGAGAGCAAATGTCTCAAATCACAGCATTTCAAGGGAAAAAGATTAAATTTGATGACTAGACTATACATAAATGGAGGTTCAAAAAACATTTTTTTTGCAACTGCTCTTTGAGCATTTTTGTTATACTGTCCATATCCTTTGCAATTTACAAACCTGCAACTATTATTTACCATTGTAGAATATCAAGATTGTTTCATTCATTCTTTGTGCTGTTCATTAATGTAATGACCATTTGGTGCTGGTTCGTAAGTCCCATTATGTAGTGCCAACATTCATGAAATATACCCTAATGTGAACAAAGGATTTTTTAGAAACATAATTTGTGCCCTGTAGGAATAGTACAGATTATTTGGACAGGGGTTTGGAAGGCAATTTTTTTAATGTAAAAAAATGTACTTTATATGAGAATTTGGTTGTCAAAAGAAAGGTTCTATATTGTCCCATCTCAACTGAGACAAAGTTAAAAGATTCTTAAACTTGAAGAGACTTCAAAAATTTACCAGTGTATCAGGTATCTGGCAAAGTCAATTAGTTTTAAGCATAATATGAAAATTTCTGGGGAGAATAAAATACTGTGCTTTTAAATTGTGATCTCTGTCCTCTGATTATACTGCCAATTTGAAGAAATGAAGCAATGTCTTTAATATTTTGTTCTGGTAGTTATGTCTGGATTCTTCAACATGTGTGTCTTGCACTTTCTGAAAAATGTGAAAAAACTTTGTACACTAAGAAACATTTGACTTTTAAGTGCCAGTCTGACACTGGGAGTTCATTTGATTAGAATATAGCATAAAAAGTTCATTGAATATGCTTCAGGTACTTTCCCTATACCTTATTGAAAGAAATTCTGAACATGTAATTAATCTTTAATAGTGTTGTTTTTTTAAATATAGTTACCTTTCATTATCAAATTAATTCATAAAGCTAATAAATGACTGGACTGTACTATTCATGTAGCATTTTGAGATGCTTAATGGAAGCCCTGCATCACCCCAAAGGCCCATCTAACCTAGTATCTTTGAAAGTAGTCAGAAAGGGGTGCTTTAAGGACAGAAGGAGCACACAGTGATACATCATACAACATTGATCTCTTCAAGCTTCCAGTTTACAGCTGAGCGACGTCTTGTGATACAGTAGCTTATAGTGTTTAATAATCCTTGATCAGTTTCCTTTCTTCAGATTTGCCTGCTCTTAAATCCCTGCAGACTTGTAGGGTATGTCATCTCTTAAGGTGTAGATGGCCTTCCAACATATTGCAGTCTGAAAAAGTCTAGTCTTTTTCTGTGTCTCAGACAAAGCCATCAGGCTTCTGGGCTGCATTAGAAAATGTTGCCAGCAGTATGAGGATCCTTGCCCTGGACTAAACACAGGTAATGGTACATTGTAGACATTCCATCTTGTGTTAAGTTCTTGAAGACTAAGCCTTCAAGTGGGTCTGTTCTGCATTAATATTTAGGCATGGTTTGCCCTACTTAGGCTTTCTTTTCTATATACTGAACAAATGTCAGTTTATGTAATACTGTCTTTAATGGCATTGCCTCCCAGAGAAATGAGAAATTCAAACCACCTTTCATTTCAAAGTGGTTTTGGTGCTGTTATTTTCACTGTTCTGTATGGAACAGTAATGAAGGCCAAAAGCTACAAAATAAAGCACAGAAACCTATTTACTGTGCTTTTGTAGGGTTATATTTTGCAGAAGAAGCCATGCATTTACCTGCTTTCTACAAACTTCAAGATTTTCAGATGCAAATGTTAATCCTTAAATCTTTAAATAAAATAAGTAAATAAATCCTAGATGAATGCCACACCTGGTATGTGACTTCTCTGCTTCCAGTGTAAGGCAAGAGAAATGTCTTTTGGTAGGTGTTGTAACAGTTTTTCATGGACAGCTTACCTTTCAGCAGATGAGTACCCTGTTTAAAGATCAAAAACTTAAAAGATTGCAAATAGTTTGGGAAAAACCTCAAGACTTTAAGGAGCCAATGTTCTAAAGTGCTTTTTTTGCATGTGCTTAAAAGGTTTAGGGTCATTGGTTTATCTTGGCATTAGAGCAAGTTTCTTACTGCATTATTACAGCTGTAATTTTGTAATTTGTGGCCATAGAATTCTCCCTGAAGGAAGCCTGACTTAACAAAACATCCTTTTTTTTTTTTTTTTTCCCAAAAATATTCTGAGCTCTTATTTTAAAGAAAAGAAAAAAGACAACATACACTGAACATGAATGAGAGAAGAGAGATTAGGATACTGGCATTACTTCATATTTTAATGAGTTACTGCTACTTTCTGCTGGTGCTTAGTGACTCACCTGGATCACAGCTTTAATACATTATACAAATGAGTAGTGATGGTGGAGACTTGATAGTATCTTTTACATGTAACTGGTAATTTGTTTATGAACTGATAAATCCAGTGAACTTGCCTGGAGGTTGTTGATAAAGTTTAGAATGTTTTCTCTTCATTGTAACAACATAACATTTTCAGCATATATGTGATTTTAACTTGTATCTGTAGCATTGTTTAGACAGAGACTTCTCAGAAAATACTAGCAATTTATTTTTATAGTGACATGGGAAGTTATTCTTTTCTGTGATGATTAGATTTTAAAATCTTGATATCCATGCCTTTCTGTTCAGTACCAGAACATAGAAGAAATGTCTTGAGCCAGGTACATACTGTCAGATACTACAAGGCTGCTTCAGGTGCACAATTTTTTCACTTCAGGCTTACCAACAATTCAATCTCAGATTTTTCAGTGTGTTTTAAGACAGTAATTACTAGTTTAAATGTGTTTGTTTTTTTTTTTTTTTTATAGCAAATGGGTGTATTATTGATGGGACCACTTTGTAGACTTCCAAACAGGCATAAATATTTCTTTAATCAGGTTTTATGGAATTATTAGATCAGGAAAAATGGAGCTTGAATGAAAATTCAGTTACAGCAACACTTTCTGGAGTGAAAGAATGAATCGTGGTAGATCTACTGGTGGTAGATAATTTTGAGATACTAAGCAGGTGGTCTAATGTAAAAATGAGATAGCAGAATGGAGGTAGAAGGTACATGTGAACTAGAAGATGCTTTATTTTCAACAGATTTGCATATGCTTTCTTCCATTATCACAAGCCATTTTTATTGCAGTTTTGTATTTGCACAAAAGTTAATCCACTCCAGGTTCTGTGGTGTAGGAATAGCACATGGAGAAATTGTCAGTTTGAAGCTCTTAGCTCTAATAAGTAGTAGAACATGAAATACTTTTTAAATAGAGAAACATTACACAATGTGGGTTATATCTGAAATAATACTACATTTATTTTATTAATTTTAAAAGATATTACATTGGTTTTGTCTCCATTTACATGAAGCCAAGAGTGCCAATTAGTTGGTATTTATGTGTTTGATGACTCCAGTAAGACTCTTTTTAACTATTAGAGCGAAACTATTTAGAGTCCAAGTCTCTTTTTAACTATTCTCTTCTGTAGTAGTGAAGGGACAAGAGATGCTTCACAACTCAAGACTGTTTTATCGGTTTAGCATACAGATTGAAGAGGCAGCAGGACACTGACTTGTACTGGCTTGTAGAGGTTGTAAATAACAGGATAAAATGTGTTTGGAGTAACTGTATGTTTAATCTTTTAGTCAGTTTTCTAGAGTACATAGGCTTCCTACCATGTACTGCTCAAATATTCTTTCTGTAAAAGTATAATTTTTGGAGCAGAAATTCTGAAAGTGTTTTTTAAGTTCCTGTTTTTACCGAGACAGATACAGTAAGGAAATAGTGTCCAGATGAACCAAATGCCTCCTCCTGTTAAGCCTTGACATGTTAATCCTTTGTGTAGTACTGGGGGTAATTTATCATGCCTTGAATTTTTTATTTCTTGTTTCTACCTTCTTGTCACAGTTTTTCTGAGACCATGTCAGCAAGATAGAAATTTCTTCATTTTTGTGTAGATACAACAACCTTAACTAAAGCCTTCTCACTGAGGGATGGATCTGGCCTGTGCAGTAAGTGTAATACTTTGACAAGTAAAACGCTTGAAACATTTTATTCAAGTCATTTTCACATAAACTTGCAACCATAATACGGGCAGGTAACACAAGAATATGAAAGTGCAGTGAAGAATACAAAGCTAGTGCCTGAATATTATAAATTAGAGCAGATAAAGATGCAAAGTTACTGAAATGAAGACTCTGAAGAAAAGTGAAGGAAATAATGGAAAGTCTTCAAGAAAGTTGCAAAAATAAGTGGCATTTCACTGTATCTGTAGCATTTAGTTGCATAATAAAAACCTCCCAATTACATACTCTTTGGTTTTAATTCAAGTTAAAAATTTTTCAGCACCTTTTAGGATTTGGAGAAAATGAAAATGCCTTTTTGGCATAAATGTGAGACACAGGATAAACCAACTTTCAGTGTCTCATTAATGAAAACCACCCTGCTGGTTTTGAATGAGCACACTGCAAACAATGCATGAATGACAATAGGAAGGTACATTTGATATGTGCATTCATTCTGGAGCAGAAAAAATACTGAGTAGACTTCTAACATAAAAACATCATCTACACAATGTTTTGGTTCCATTGGTGACCAGTCTGTTCATTTTTGTTACACTTTTGTCTAGAAATACACAAATACCAAATGTATTTCAGGATTAAAAAAATATATAACAAACCCTTCCTCTAATGAGCCTGACATATATTATGTTCCTTATGTGCAATTCTTAAGTTAAGATTTGAAGTGTGAGAAGTTATTGCTTCACACACTTTTATACATTCTGGCTTTTCAGAAGAAATTTGAGACTGCAAAACAGCAAATTCATAGTAGAATTCCCACAGAATTTAAATCTGGTTTTGCTCCCACCGAGACCAATGTCAACACACTTTCCAAAAATAAGGGAATAAGCCAAATGTCTGGTAAAATGGAATCCAAATATAATTTCCTGTAAAAATGAAAACTTTTTCCAAAACAGTTTTTAAAAATTCAGATAATCCCAAAAACATATTCCAGTATGCAAAAAGGTGTCAAATCTGCAGAGCCAAGATACTGAAAATATTGGTTGGCGCTCCCCTAGTTAGAACTACTTCTACACATGCTATTATATAATAAACTCTTCTACGTCTACTGTGTTGTGATTTACTATAATTAAACAGGGTTGAAGTCACATTCCTTCATTTTTTTTAATCCTAAAATTCCTTGTCTTTCTGTTCATTTCTTAGGCAATTTTTGTGCTATTGTACATCAATGTCATGTCGCTTAACACACATTTCAAAACAAATAAAATATTTTGCTACGGAAGGAAAAGCTACATTTTCGTAGCTTCAGTATCCCCAATATTCCAAGTTACAGCATTCAACACCTTTCCAAATGAGGCCATTCCCACTTGTTCCACCTACACAGATGCTCAAGGCCCTCTGGCTCCTTGCTGATTTCAGTGGAGCTCTGCAAGTTGTTTGGGCACAGACATGTGAGCAGGTGAGTGTGTCATGTGCGAGGTGTACCCCACCCTTCCTGTGGCTGCTCTGTCTCCAGTTAGTGCTCTCACATGCCATATTCAACATCAGGCACCATGAGGTATGAGCACACCTCTTCCCAGGAAGCAGCCCATGCCCACAGCCTGGTTCCATTCAGTAGCTTTTGTGTCCAATGCCCAAGCTGCTCTCAGGACTTTGACCCCAATTTTGACCTGTCTATAGAAAGATGAATGTGCTTGCATCCCTTAACACCTCTTAAACCTAAGAACTCTTTGGGCTGTGATTTCAGAAGCTTAGACTTTAAATAGGCCCTCATTTTTGCAGACATCTGTTACAAATGGTCTTCTCATGAGTTCCAAATTTTGCTTCTGTTCATTGCCCATACTGGTTACAGATTGCTAAAAATGGATCTTGCAGCAAACAGAAAGGGACCTGCAGGTATAAATTATTATTCTGCACCCTCTCCCACTGGTGGGTAGTAATCACGAGGCTGCTGGATCTCAGGTTCTTTTTAAGTTCTGATTGTGCAAATTTATAATCAAGTTATGATTAAGGTGGAAATAAACTTAAATAAATGTACTAAAGAACAGCTGATCCATGAAGGATCTTATGGTAATTCATCAAACTTCCAAATTAAATCCATAGGGTTCTAAAGCATAAAATATTTCCAAATACTACCTGAAGTATTCTCAATAGTGATAATAAAACCACTCCATACTCCTCAAATTTTTAATTTTTAACTATACTGAATAGCACATTTTTTCCTTTTTTTTTTAATTAATTAGTTTCCAATATTTCAGTAGGTGTTTTGAACTGCTGATCGAATTAATGAACACCAATCAATATGTCTAGGTCCCATTGGTCGAAAAGTAGATTCTCATTTTACATGATCAGAAATCTTCTGAAAAAACAAAAGCCAGATCCCCTTGTGATATGTCATTTCACAGTTTAAAACAAAAATCACAGCTACTGTAGCTTACAGCAGGGTGCACTGCAAAAGCAAAATAATTTGGGGATGGGAGGAGGAGTAGTATACCCAGCACCAGTTAAGCAGTTCAGCAGAAACATTAATTTGGGCTGGAAGTTTTTCCCCTTAACAATGTTGCATTTGGTTCCTGAACAGCCTAAAGCAGGGTGTCAAATACACTGACTTCTTGCTCTTCCTCTCTATACAGTATATTTTCAACTTTGTTATTTTGAATACTGAGATATAAATTTTAAAGTCAACTACAGTACTTAAGGGGGAAGCAGGTAGTAGGTTTTCTTCACACTAAAAATACTTTGTAAGAGATTTTGACCTACTTCTGTTTGTGGCACCACCTGAGTTAATTGCCTGTATTATTTTGATGGTTAACCTGTTCAAGTTGGGTGTTTTTCACAGATGACCACATTAGGGACTCTTCATCATCTCCAAGAGCCCATTTCTTGACAGGTATTTTTTATCTACATTAAGTTTGCAGAACTTTTTTTAAAGTCCCACCTTGAAAAATTTCTTGGAACATATAAAGATGGGTAAACTTTTTCATTAATTTTCACAGATGAAAGGTATATTTCAAAACCCCATCTGTTTTTCACTTAAGAAAATGGAAAAACTTCTAATGTATTAAAAATGTAAACATAACTTTTCTTGCAGGGGTATAACTTGTATATATAATATATGTGTATTTTTCTGCTATATGTTAATATTCTTTGAAAACTGAACATACTTCTCTCTTTCATATCAATGTGTCCTAGCAAGACTTTTTAATAGTACTGTATCATCACTTTTAATCTGTTTGTCATTGTGGTCTTTTCTGAGATAACTGACATTAGTACATTCTCTTGAGTTTTATTTAATTCATTTTGCGTACATTTTTTTTCTACATTTTAAAATATGTTCAACTCATTCACAAGTAATATTCCCACTGAAGTCTACTATCATGTAAACTCCAAATTTGAAGGAGCTAAGAAATGGTCCCATGTTTTTATGAATGAGTTAGATTATCAAAATTTAAAATATCTCTAAATGAAGCACCAGTTTCACACATTTCAACAGCAATACAAATAATGCCAATTTAGATCCTTAATATCCAGTTAAGTTTTGGTTGAAAAGCAGCAGAAGTGCTTCAAAGTCACATAAGGTGTGTGGGTGTATGTGTGTATGTTCTGTAGTTTTGTTTCTATAGTATTTGCATCCTAGTGAAGTTTGTATAATGATACTTCAGTTCAAAACATCTGGCACCATCTCATCCACTTCTTGCATCTCTCTCAGTATCTGTTGAAAGAGAAGTAATTTTATGTAGGTGAGCAGGCACGCACAGAAAGAAGAACTGCTGAATACCCACTTGTCAGCTTGGAAGCACACATCAGCCAACATTAACAGACATTTTGCGTCCTAGCCCTGCATGAATATGTACCTGAGAGAGATATAAAGTATGGTGTACATATATACAGATAGGTAGATAGATAGACAGACAGACAGATAGATAGATGGGGTGTTAGCCTGGAGAAGAGGAGGCTGAGGGGAAATCTCATCACTCTCTAGTGAGGTGTGGGTTGGTCTCTTCTCCCACATAACCAGTGAGACAGGATGAGAGGAAATGGCCTCAAGGGATGGTTTAGATGGAATATCAGGAGAAACTGTTTCACCTAAAGGGTTGTAAAACATTAGAGCAGAATACCAGGGAAGTGGTGAGGTCACTATCCCTGGAAGTTTTCAGAAGATGTATGAATATGGCACTTGAGAATATAGTGAGCATGGTGGTGATATGAGGTTGATGGCTAGATTTCAGTATCTAAAAGGTCTTTTCCAACATTACTATTATTCTATGTACTCAGTAACATTTTCAGAGGTAAAATAGGGAGATTACAAGTTAAAAGCGTGAAACATAAGTTTGGCTCATTTAACTACCGGTTTCCTAATGTAAAGTGAGGAATTAATATTTTACAGGCTAATTAAGCAAGTCACATTAATTCAGTCTGTTTCACTGATACTGCTATAGAAGACTACATTGGTCATCTGTTTTGCTGTTTTACTTTTCACTGACTGCTCTGGAAATTGTTTCATATGAACCTCTATACAATGTTAATACTCCTTATACAATCCAAATGAAGTCTCTTGATAAATATTTCATACGAGCAGCTAGCACAGTGTTCTGAGAACTGCTTACCACTGTGTTACAGAAGACTACTTTCTCTGTGTGAGTTTCACAGATACTAAGGTACAGTAGATCTACCATGAGGACATTTATTAAATGAATTTGCCTTTTTGGAGGAAAAAATGTAAGAAAGGCACAATTTTGGCATTGTTCAAAATTTTAAAGAGCAAAACTAAACGGAGGATGTATGAAAGAACTGTTTCAGGGAGAGTGCTGTGCAAGTAGCAGCAGTGAAGTAACATGCATGTGTGGGATTTTGCAGAATGTCTTAAAGAGCACTGCAGCTACTCAGTTGTGTGTGGGTGTGTAAAAGGGTATTGAATGATCCTAGAAAGGTCCTAACGCAAGTACAAAGAAAGTGTGTGAGCCAGAGGTTGTTATCTGGCAGACCAGACAGGAGCAGCAATTTTGGAAAGTGTTACATATTCCAACAGCACAAGCACAAGAGCAAAACTCCCACAAATTTTAAAATTCCCAAAACCCACAGAACAAAATCCTGACAGTGGGGCACAGTGGCAGAGAAACCACCAGGGACGCACTTACGGTGAAATTGTGCAGCCAGAGGCGTAGGCATGATGGCCCGTATAGCGGATGTCGCAGCGGACAATGTTGTTGGAGTAATCAGATTCAGGCACCAGGTAGCTGGGGTTTACACTAACCTGGAGGGGAGAGAGCACATTGCTATCTGCTGCCATGCTTCAGCTGGTAACTTATATGACAAAGGATGCATGTAAATTATTTGCTTATTTCAGTAGGGAAAAAAAAAAAAACAAACACTCCCCAAAAACCCCAAACTTCCCCATTCCCAATACACTCACCTTCAGAATGTAATTTCCAGGTTTTACATCAGTAATATCAATCCACTGGCAATCTATGTCAGCATTGTAAGTGTCGTAGCAGCCAGGGCTCAGACCCTTAAGAATGAAGTTAAGATGGATGTGAACAAACATTAATCTTTAGAAGTAGTGATATTCTAGATATTAGGGACACTCAGACTGAAGTTCACTTAACTATCACAGTTCACTTAGAAAATCAATCTTATTTTTAGTTGGCATTTTATTTGTGTGTCTAAAATAGAATACCTACGTCTAATGCACCACTTTTATAGACTTTTATAGCCCTTTATTACTACTGGATAAAAAACACCTATAATATTGACAGTTGTGCATCTGTGAGGTATCTGTATTTTCTTACAATCATTTGTTACAGTACTCCTTTTACGTAAAAACTGTTAATTATATCGTTTCCCATTCTTTACATAAGATCACAATACAATAAAAATAGACCAAAGACTGGAGGTAAGTATCTGTAAATGTCAAGTGAATATCTTCTGAGGTCATGAGTACAGACAGACTTGATCACCATGTTGGAACCTATCTCTATCCTTAGGAATGATGCAACCTTTTGCTATGGATGTTTGAATAGTAGGGTTAAAGGCCATTTTCACATTGAGCTTTCCATGGAAATGGTGTCTCTTCAGGCAAATAGTGACACAAGAATTTGAGGGAACTGA